AGAGAGAGAGAGAGAGAGAGAGAGAGAGAGAGAGAGAGAGAGAGAGAAATAAGAGGATACCTTTTATAAGCATTAGAGGAGTAATAGGACACAAATCATGAAGAGCTATTAATATCTCATATTCAACCATATAGTTCTTATGTGTTTTCCTTAATGCTGCTAGAAAAATATATATTTAGATTTCAAGAAAGATAGTAATTGAACATTTATCAATCAAAATAAAATAATGTAGGCTGGAAGTTAAAAAAAAATCCCTGTACTATTTCTAAAATCTAAGATGATTCTTATAATAAAATAATCAGTTGAGCCATCTAGTTATGTTGAAACTATTATACCTTAAGAAAAATGTGGTTCATTATGTACTACAGTTTATATAATTGCACCATAGCAATTTGTCCAAATAACTCTCTTTAAGAAAAGGAATGAGATGTCTTGAAGAATATGAGATATTTCATCTTGCTGTGAAGTCCAAACAATGGAATCTCCATATCTTATAAAGACTCAGCAATACTCTAGGCATTTGAATATGTTCAGAGGCAAAATGCTATCTCCCCAGTTAGTGCTTAGTGAGTAGAATGCAAATAAGTGATATAAGTACAAACATTTACTCACTAAGTCTACTCAGCTGCTAGGAGACAGCAAGCATGATACTCCTCTTGGAGACACATTTTCATTTCTAATTCCACTGTTTTTTATTATTTTCCCTTGTTATAATTGTGAATTAAATGTTGTAAAGAACATCATGTCTTTCTTTAGTCACCTGCATCTGTAGATAAATCATGATGGGAACAGAGATACAAATCCTTTCAAATATCTAGAGTTTGACTGCAATATCATAAAGGTACATTATTCTTTCTACAGTTCATAAAATACATGATTGAAAAATTTGAAGCTTGAAATATTTTTGTTTTATAGCAGAGATATTCATAGCCCTTTTCTGTGAGATATAGTTGAATGATGTACCAATGCCTGTAGTAAATGTATACTTGAGAAGAAGAGAAGCGATATGAAAGAAGATTCCTTATTAAAAGAACAACTAGGAAGTTTCAGGCATTTTAGTTAAAAGCTAAGGAAAACAAATAGACTATTTTGAAAACTAAGGCCTGTGTATCTTTTGTTTATTTTAGAGACTCTTGGGATGGATCCACAAGTTGCTATAGCAAACTCCTTGGGTTTTATTGGATGCCTTTCTTCAGTCCAATACAATCACATAGCACCACTGAAGGCAGCCCTCCGCCATGATAGCATTGCACCTGTGACTGTCCAAGGGACCTTGAGAGAATCCAGCTGTGGCTTCATGGTAGACTCTGATGTGAAGGCAGTGACCACTGTGTATTCTTCATCAGGTACTTCCTAAAGTATGCTCTCTTGAATTTCCATCACTAACCCTACTTCTGCTGTTTTATATTGCTAAAGAGTTGTCAAAAAGCACTCAGATCTTTGCCATATATAAATATAGGAGGTAATGGACAGTAACTGACTTCTGATGTGTCATGTCTACTTTTACAAAACACTTTGACAGAAGCAAATAAAGAAGGAAAGAAAGAAGGAAGGAAGGAAGGAAGGAAGGAAGGAAGGAAGGAAGGAAGGGAAGAAAGAAGGAAATAAAGAGTATAGGTTGGTTTTTAGTTCAAGTGTCCACACCATCATAGATAATAGGACTTTGAAGCAGCTGGTCACATCATACTCATAATCAGGATGAGGAGAACAATATATACATGCCAGTATTCAAATCATTCTTCATTCATACAGTCTAGGACACCATCCAGGGTGTGGTGCCAGCCAAAGTCAGCAGCTCTTCCTATCTCAGATAAGAAATCAAGTTAATGCCAGAAGCATTCTTAGAGAACCATCTCTTGAGTGATTCTAGATTGTGTCAAATTGACTATTAACACTAGCCATCCCACAAACTATAGTGCATAGAAACAGACAATATTAATAACTGATTTTAAGTATGAAATATAACAATATTTTGATATGTTCATTTATATGATCTAAAATTAATAACATGTTAACAATAACATTATCTACATATGTTTAATATAATTCCAGTTTCAGGTGATGAGCAGTTATAATTAGTATGTAGTTCCTTATAGTGCATATCATATATTTATGCATAATATGTATGTGCACTTGTTCACCTGTTGTTTAAGTAGAAACCAATATGAAGATCCAAGTATTTATGGGGAATGAAAACATCATGATGGGGACATAGATAATACTAACTTTAATATTATCCTATAGCTTCTTGGAGGGATTATTAACAAAATTTTAGACATGTGAAGTGTAAGATGTGATACTTTGCATGTATTATACAATGATAATTTTTTATTACATTAGTTGCAAGGGGTTAGGGAGAGATCTTAATGGCTAAAATGCTTTTTGAACAATCTAGAGGACCAGAGTTACAATTTACAATCTACATAAAAGGCAAAATATTACAGTGAACACTTGTAGCACAGTGCTGTGCCAAAGACAAGAGATATCTGGGGCTCCCTGGCAAACCAACCTCTCTAAATTAGTAAGCTCCAGATTTACTGAGAGTTATAGTCTCAAGAAATACAATGAAAAATTTTTAAAGAAAATACCACACATAATCTTTGACCTTGATGCTGGCCCCCATGGGATAAAATACCTGTCTAAACACATGCATATTTGCACATAAACATAAATACAATTTTAATAAATAAGCAATTAATGCATAAATGCATATTGTATACATAAGTCATTTTACCTATCTACCCTATAAGTGCTTATGTGTCTGATGAGAACATTTGATTATAAAAACGTATTTGTACATTTTATGACTTTTGATTATGCATGATGAATTTCATTTTCTTTAGCTAACAGAGCCCAAGTTACTGTTAAGTATCATCATGTTCTGCTATCAGGTTTTGTTTTTGTCTTTTTTTTTCTTTTAGATTCTGATCATTAATGAAATCATCCATTTCTTTTCTTTACTATGAGGGACTTATTCCACTTGATATGATAATTGTTTTATTCATATTCTTTTTAAATGAAGAAATCAACTCATGAGGCTGAGTAACATGCCAATGTGAGTTGGTATATGCATGCACATGTATGTGTAGGTTTGTGTGTATATATATGTAAGTACATGTGAGTATATGTATGTATGTGTAGAAACACAATATCTTTTTTTGCTCACTCATTGATACTTAAGTTGACTCTATATCTTAGCTATTGTGAATAAAGCTGAAATGGTCACTGCATTATAGTCATCACAGTCCCTGATTTCAATTTATATTGGGAAAGCATAATAGTAAAAATCATATAATACTGTTACAGAAACAGATATATAGACAAAGGCAATGGATTGGAGAGCCCAGTGTAGGACCATGAAAGGCAACCTGGTTCCTTGTTGAGCTAAGGTTGGAAACCCAGTGATCCTGAGGAACAGCAGGTGTTTTGCTTGGTTCCCAGACACTAGGCTCCTGACACTATCGCAGCCCTCCGTAGATTTGTGGCCATTAGTCATGTAAGGGCAATGCCCCAAGCTGCTCCACAGGTAGAGGATGTGACCTGTAGTCAGGTAGCCTCAAGACAGGTCTCCATTTTATCAAGGTACCGAAAGGCCTGAAGGGCTTAGCCAATTAAGCTTCCCTTAACAGATACTTCTCCTTGCAAAAGGTATTTAACCTCAGGCCTGCCCTGAGAAACTGGCTTATCCACTTTCCTCCATGATAATAAAAGCCTTTAAACCATGGGGTGCCTCTTTTCATCTGGTTCCACCATGGGGAGCCATAGAGGAGGCCTTTGCCTACAGAGCCATCATCTAATCCTGTACCAGGACACTCTGCTCTAATCCATGACCACCAAGCCCAACCAGCTGACCAAGTCAAGAACACCCCTGTGGGATGCAGCTGGAGTTCAGCTCTCCCCTTTTGATCTCAGACTGTGCTCCCCCAACCCATCGGTGTCCTGTGGCATTTCCAAAGCCCAACAACCACCCAAGCACAGTCAAAACCCCCTTGTTCTGCCTCCCTGAGCAGCACAAGCCCTGTGGCAGAAGAGACAGGGACCTCCCTAACCCTACACCCAGAAGTAAACCCAAGGCATTTGTGGTCAAGTCAAACAGTTTGGCAAGGACTGGAGGAAAAGACAGAACCTTCATAAATGCCTTCAAATAACCCAGCTACAAGCAAATCATGCATTGGAATCATCGTCTTGCTCTAGAAAAATATAAAGGAAACCATTATTTTTGTTATAATACTTGAAACAATAAAACTTGAAGAAAAAAGCTATAAAAATATCCTCAATATTATTCTTAAAATGATAAATTATTGATATAATTAAATTCAAGTGATGGAAGCAAAAGTAAGAGAGTGAGTGAAATTAGCTCAAAGTTGATCAGGCAGTCCAAAGCAAGTAGAATGATCAGCAAAATGAAAAGTAAATTTTGTGAGCAAAGATTTACGGAATCTATTTCTTGGTAGTCAAATTTTAAGACATATTGGTTGTTTTAACACAACAGTCAAAAAACAAACAACCTTATTAAAATTAGGCAAAGCACTGCATGAAACATCCATTTTTCCAAAGGTAACAGAAACATGGCCAAGGCAAATGTGTCACATGAGAACTGTAGCCATATGAAAAGGCCAATACCATCAATCATCATCGATGGCAAAGCCATGCTTCCTTATCACCTTCAGGATAGTTGTAAGGTAAAAGGTAGTCGTCAGACAATTCAGTATTGAAAGTCCCAAGAAAAAGAATGTTTTATATATTTATATCTGTTTATCTATCTATCTATCTATCTATCTATCTATCTATCTATCTATCTATCATCTATCTATCATCTACCTCTCTATCAGATATATGTAAATAAGTGTGGTGTTAGCAACAGAAAGAGTAGAAAATGGGAGCTTAGGGACTTGACTGTACCTTCTGCAAGCTGACAAGCTTGAGCCTTTTAGGACTGGAAATGTTAAAGAAATTTGAACAAACCTGTGCTATGCAGAAGTAGCATAGTAATAGTTACTTGAAGTAGTCCTATAATGCTCTCTACAGTGTTTAGTGGAGAGGGCACACTGTCTTGAGAAGTGTGAGTGGGATAGCAGGCTAGTTGTTTCAAAAGCTATGAACTTGTGTTTTCTGTGTACAAAATACATGCTTGTATGTGTAGCATTTACTGTCCCTAGAAAATAATTAGTATAGGACTGTGTGACTGTCTGTATTTCTGAGAAGATGTAAAGAAACATCTATTCAGTTCAGAGGGAGAGCTGGTGACAGACCAAAGCTAGGATACTTCCAAATCCCAACTGATGAAATAAAGAGTTTTATTGGAGTTACTTAGAAGAATATGGTTGATAGTTTACTCAGGGGGACAGAAATGATTCAAAGCTAGATGTATCTCCAAAGTCTACTCCAGCATGAATCCTGTCTCATATAAGCTGAAACAAGGGAGCTCACTGCAAAACTTGTAGTCAGCTCAATAGGTCAGAAAGGGTAGTCTTGATAATCTATGTCCCTTTCAGGCAGCTCTGATGGTATGAGAGTCTTTCAGGCACCTAGACTGTTATGAAAATATTTCTAATTAATCCTGATTGCCTATATAAGATTGGGAAGGGAGGAATCTACTATATCTGGTCAGTTTTAAGGACTTCCTGAGTTCTTTACTTCCCGAGTAGTAAGAAATTGGCCTTTAGAATATTCTGCAGGTGGGAATGTGAATGTATCCACTCCACAAAAAAAAAAAGAAAAAATTGTATCACACCTGCCTGGCAAGGTATCCAAATTAGTCAGAAAATTCTGTAAAGAAAAATTTATATCTATTAACCCATCAATATCAAAACATGTTAAAAATGAAAAATCTAGGTAAAAGTAAGGACTATTTTATTTATAATGTGATAATTAGCACATGGACTAAATAAAGTTGGAACAAACGTGAGCTGTATTAAGACAAAGGTCTTATATTACCATGGAGAGTTAAGATTTGAGTATTTCTGATAAGTCCTTAGAAACTGTGATCACGGGAGTGTTCAAAGAATTGTGTTTAATGCCTTGTTTGTTCTTTGACTATTTATGTTTATTGTCTTGCTTGTTTCTTGACTATTTTCATCTATAGTATTGCTAGACCCTCAACCTAGATCTGACATTAATACATGTATGTAATTAAAATGATATAAAAACAAAAAGGAAGAGGGGGGATGGAATAGGGTGTTCTAGGGAAGGGAAATAGGGAAAGGGGATGGCATCTGAAATGTAAATAAGTGAATTATATAATTAAAAAAAGAAAAAAAGATTTGAGTATTCATGAAGTAGAAGGAATTCCAGAAAGGAGGCTTGGCATAGAATATGCCAGAGGACATAGGAGATGGATAGGATA